ATATTATATTATATTATATTATATTATATTATATTATATTATATTATATTATATTATATTATATTATATTATATTATATTATTATACAGTAAGGCCCTCTTATCCGCGGGACCAGTATCCACAGATTCACTTACCCACTGTTTGAAAATATTAAAAATATTAAAAGAAAAATCCTAGAAATAAACATTTTTAAATATGACGTTACTGGAATTCTCTGTATTGGAATCAGAACTCTGCTCTTTGACATTTGACTAGTGGTTTTATGAGCTGTTATATGGTCTGTATTTGGGCAGAAAAACCATTAATATCCCAAATACCAATTTGGAATAATGATTCAGTATGTAATAGACAGTGATTTCATACCGTAATTATTTTATTTTGTTTGTTTGTTTATTCAATTTGTGATCCACCCAGCTTTGCTGTACATGGTTCAAGAGCAGCCTTTCCCAATGCAGGTCACACTCTGACTACATGGTTCAAGAGCAGCCTTTCCCAATCCAGGTCACACTCTGACTAATGATGCCTTAAATACTCTCTCTGCCTCAAACCCCCAAACTCTTCCCCCCCCCTCAAAACTCTGTTTCTGATGGAACTCACTAGACTCTGAATCACCCCTCTCTTCTAGCTTCTCTGGCTTCGCTTCCCAACCGCTCTCATTGGTACATAATCTTCCACCTGAGCCAAAGCAGGGTAATCGCCACAAATACCATACTTTGGGTTGCAAAATATCATGGAATGAATCACCCCTCTGTTCTAGTTTCTCTGGCTTCGCTTCCCAACCGCTCTCATCAGTACATGCCAATAATCTTCCACCTGAGCCAAAGCAGGGTGATCGCCACAAATACCATACAGTGTGTTGCAAAATATCATGGAATATGGAGAAATCAGCAGCTCTTGGGGGGAAAGTGCACAGACTCGAACACAGAACGAAGCAACAGTCTGTTTTATTTTAGCAGTGGATACGGTGCCTTTTTGTTTTAAATGTCCCTTTGCCTCTGTTTGAGTGTAAGAGCTGGTTCTAAAGAAGTGGCCAAAATCATTTCTCTCATTTCCTCACAGGTTCCAAGAACGGGGAGCTGTTCCCTCAGAGTTAAAAAGGCCACGCGCCACAGACAGGATGTTGCTGCAGACAGGAATAACGACAATCTTCTGGACAAAGACGATGATCATTTTCTAGGAGCACCTGAGAAAGAAAGCAACTTAGAGTCAGATGGTGATGAGAACTGGGAATGTCCCTATTGTAATATCCCAATCAGATCTTGAAATTTAATTTGTATTTTTTTGGGGGGGGGGGATTGGACTAAAAGCAAGCTTGGAAATCTCTTTTCCTACATCACAAGATGCTGCCCACCACTCCAACCCCCCATGTACTTCCAGCCCCCCAAATCCAACATATATACTTTTCGGACTTTGAGTTTCCTAGTTCACAAGAGATACCAGGTTCCATGGAGGCTCAAGCGCACACAATAAATAAGGTGGGATCTGGAAGATGAAAGAACTGCAATCTTCCACCGTACAAAATTTTCTCTGGATCTCTTTCCCTTTGAACAATGGTTCCCAACCCTGGGTCACCCAGGTGTTCTTGGACTGCAACTCCCAGAAACCCCGGGTAGCACAGTCAGTGGGGAAGGCTTCTGGGAGTTGCAGTCCAAGAACATCTGGGTGACCCAAGACTGGGAACCACTGCCTTCGAAAAAACAAATAAACACATGTTTTACTGCTCCTTGGAATGCACCCATCCAAGTCAAGAGGGGGCACCACATTGACCTACCACCCCTGTCCCATCTTGTGATGCTGGTACTTACCTCTCCCTCCTCTGGGGATGCCTCTGTCTCCAATTCTCCCACCTCCTCTCCCACCGCCTCTCCCAGTGCCTCTGCTACTGTTGCCGCCTCTGCTTCTCCCACTGTCCTGGCTTCTGTGAGTCCTCTGGCTCCTTTGCTGTGCCCTCTCCCTGGCCCTAAGGAAAGAAAGGGATGTTGGCTTTCTTTGCTACTGGCATCTGCTCCCTCTGAGGTGCTAGGACAGGAACTATCTTGTTCAGTTGCCTGAGATCAGTGGCCATTAGTCCACACCAGGCCCTGGGTCTCATTCATTCACCCTGGCCAATCTGGAATCGAGCTGTGAGCATCTTCCCTACTGACAGGTGATCTTTATGGACTTTCCATTTGCATATGCTTTGCTTTTCGAGGGGAAAAGACTGTGCCAAAAGGTTGGAGACCTCAACCAACACCCCCCAAAAAAGCCCTTGATCTCACCCTTGACAGGAGGTAAAGACTTTTGCCCAGCAGACTTAATTCCTCATCAAGGTCAAGATAATGGCAAAAAAAATCCATGGATTGTGCAAGTATTCTTGACCTCCTTCTCTATTGGGATCTTCTAATAATATTTCCCCTATACTGTCTCCCATCTCCTTGAGACAAAAAACAACAACAGTGAATACAAAATCAGATGACTTCCTTCTTTAAAAAGCCACCAACCAGCTTCGTTAGAGAGGAAGGGCCAACGACTGTGAAGGACCACTTCCTTGCTGAGACAACATCTCCGGTTTACTCAGTCCACAGGGCCCTATGGGAGCTGTCCATGGTCCTGATTGCCATCCAGAGAAACTTTACCTTGGCCAAAGAGGACCACACTTCACTTTATTGTGACTCTGGGAAGAAAAAATGGGATACTGGTCCTGGTCATTAAACAGAGACAGCCTGGATCAGTGGTTCCCAACCTTGGATCCCTAGATGTTCTTGGACTAAAACTCCCAGAAGCCTTCACCACTGGCTGCATTGCCTGGGGTTTTTGGGAGTTGTAGTCCCAGAATATCTGGAGACCCAAAGTTAGGAACCGTTGACCTAGATCAATGAAACAGAATTTAGCAGGTGTTCCTCACATTCCTACTTTCTTCGGTCTTCTTAAAAATACTATCTAACCCTGTTTGAGATTAGCATCCTCGGATCCTAGGCATGAATTGACTCGCGACAATGGAGATGAATTTTTTGTATGACACCCCCTGCCTCTGGAACAAAAGTTGGGTTTCTCCCATGGGACCATTTAAATTCTATCCTTTAGGCTTGGTACTTACTTGAGCTCAGCGCTGTTAGCAAGTCTGGCTGCGCTCGCTTCACGAGGCCCTGCAGTTCTAAAGAAAGAGGAGAAAAAAAACACAAAGTGTGTAAGCAAGAATGGGGTGGCAGAATTGCAATGAAAACAGAGTGCCTTGCTATTCATAATTTTTACTGCCAGGTTTGGGGAAAGCTTTGACGCCAGAATGACTTGGTTGGCTTGGAGTACTAGAAGATGGGTTCTAGGGTTCTGGAAGATGGAATATGAGTCAATCAAACAACAAATCAACCAACCAACAGTTAAGGACCTTTCCAGACTAGACATTTGTTCTCCTTCAAATACAAGGTTCTGCAACTGTGCTGTTGGTATTTCCCACCACTCCCCAAATGACAAGAAGCAGAGCCTTGGGAGGGAGGGATGGCAACACCTCTATGACTATCATCCTAAGAAGATCCGTCTGACACCACCAGGGGGCCTTGAGAGATTCCACAGGATAACCATGTCATTCAAGGAAGCATCCTTTGACGTTTCTTGCGGCCAATAGGGTTATGGAGTGCTTCTGGATGTTACTTCTTTCTAGGGCTGCTTTAATCATTTGAACATTCTGTGTCTCCTGCTATGCTGTTCTATTCATTGTCAGCTGTGGACACACATTATTTTAATATCTGGCTTATGTTCATCAACTCCTTTCAGGTTGCAGACACATTTAAAAAAAAAAAATGGAAGAAATGAAGGAGAGACACAGAACGATTGGAAGCACAAGAAATGTTACCTTTTAGAAGCGACCATCTGGAAAGCAACCAAGCCTATAAGGACTGAGATCACGACAAGAGACCCACCAATGAGACCTCCAAGCGTAGCACCAGACAGAATTCCGGCTCTTGTTTCGGGCAGTTTGTCTCAAAGATACAAAGAAAGGCTAAGTGAGAACTAGGATCAAGGTCAGTGGCAGTTTGCACCAGCTGCTCCTGGAGACAAAAAGCAACCTGGGCTTCTCTACCACCAAAATCTACCAACTGGCACAGTATAATTTCCAGAAATGCCCCAATCCAGAGATGTAACTTGACCTGAACAGGTAGGGCTTTGCCTTGCACTACTATCTTCCCCACTGAAGGTGTTTTACACTACAGTGGTGCCTCGCATAGCGATCGCTCTGTTTAGCGATGAAATCGCTTTGTAATGCATTTTTTGAGATTGCAAAAGCGATCGCTTTGCAATGTTCCCTATGGGGGAAATTTCGCTTTGTGATGATCGGTTCCCTGCTTCGGGAACAATTTCCAGAAATGCCCCAATCCAGAGATGCACTTTGAGCTGAACAGGTAAGGCTTTGCCCCAGGGTGCAAGAATTTGACTTGCACTACTATCTTCCCCACTGAAGATGTTTTACACTATTCTTTATTTATATATGGCACTTCCACATTAATCAGGTTTTAATGTGTTTCTATAGGCTTTTTTTATTTCGCATTGCGATGTTTTCATTCTGCAGTGATTTTTGCGGAATGAATTAACATCGCAATGCAAGGCACCACTATATTCTTTATTACTTTATATATGGCACTTCCATGAGAATTAGGGTTTTTTAAGTGCAAAAGTGGTTACTATAGATGGGCGCGAAACTTGGTTTGGAGGTTTGTGCTGTTTTGTTGGTGCGGCAATGCAGGTGCCACGCATTCCCTTCCCCTACCCTCGGCTCGCTTCTCCGCTCACCAGCCGATGCAAGTTGCTCTTCCCCTCCTCTTCAGGCATTTGTCCAGTCCGGGGCAGGAGAGCCAGCTTCCCTCCTCTGCCTCCTCTGGCAACAGCCCATTCCAAGGCAGCACTGCAGGAATCTCTGCCTCGCCTCCTCCTCCACCACTGGGACTGGACAAACACACCTGAAGAAGAGGGGAAGAGCAGCACACACCGGTTGGCAAGTGGGGAATTAGCTGCGTGGGTGGGTGAGGGAAGAGAACTTGCTGTGGTGCCATGCCAATGAAGCTCCCATTTTTAGTCTTTACCCACAGATTCCTGTCCAGAACGGGAAAGGCAGTAATCCACTGAAGCATTTGTTACCAAGTACAGGAGACAATGCCATCTGTGACTTCTTCATGGAGGAGAGGGAAGTCTCTCCCTACTGCATCATGACTGGGGTCCCTTGTGACACGAATAGAAACAGTAAGGGGGTCTTGAGAGTGGTAAACTTACCATGGGGAGCCTGTGCCGTTCCGGCCCTAGTAAAAGCCACCTCTGTTGCCATGAGAGGGGGAGCCATTTCTGTGGTTATCGGAGGTGGAATGTCCTTTGTTGTCAAGGGAGGGCTAGCATTTCTTGTGATCAGAGGAAGAACAGGTGCCTTAGCGCTGGCATTCTTACCCGGCAGACCTCGAGCTAACAGGAAGCAAGACCCAAAGATGTGAACTGTTGGGGCATGGAAAGGAGAGAGAGAGAGAGAGAGAATCAGTTCAACAGGTTGGGACAGAGAGAGAAAGAGAGAGAGAGAGAATCAGTTCAAGAGGTTGGGAAGGATGATGTCACATGAAATATAAGAGAGAGACTGCAACCCTTGCACATTTGCAGTCAGGAGGGACTTCCAAGCACACTAGCCAGAGCACCGGGCTCAACAAGGCGTGAGGTCTCTTCCTTTTATATTTTCCAAAGATTAGTGTTATTGTTGCACCGTAGTCTTGAGATTTGGCTTGCTTGGAGGCCCCTTTAGAAGAATTCAGGGCAACTTTTTATAGAGAGTCTTAGAACAGTAGCTGGCTGGGTACCTCCGTGCAAAATGTCTTCCTTTTGAGAAGGAAAGCACATACATAAACACACACACACACACATACAGATAGTGAGCGCATAAGGACTGATTGGTTATTAAGATAGAAACAACCTATCCGGTGCTTCAAATTCTTAAACAAAGCTTGCGTCATCTTGATTAGTGGGATTTCACAACACAACCCCTCCAGGGCCCTCTGCCCTCCAAAGGATGCCAACATCTCACCTATCAGAAGTAATATCAGCAAGAATCTTCCCTGTTCAGAAAGGGTCATAATTTCTGGACAATGTCGGAAGGACATTCCTGCCGTTCTTGGCAGTGGATCCGTCTTAGACATCCTGGGAGATTATATTTGCAGCTGACTGGATGCCTGGGTTCCCTTGATGTACCTTGCCATGAATGCCTGCCATTGAGCCCATCCATTTACCATCCAGCCCAGGGTCTATTTTCCCTAGGATGCTACATTTCTAGCAGCACAGCCCTGACTACCCAGGTAACGAGGATGTCATAAACCAGATATGCCAGTCATAGTTTTGGGGTAAAGGTCTCCCTCTAGGACAGGCAGGGCTAAATATATAATATGAAACATAACATGAAAAAGTTAAATATAAGCCTATATTAGTTCCCGACGTATATATGCAGGCAGAGAGTCTGGGCACTGGAGGTTTTTATTTCATCAGCAGATACATAATGGACTTTTCTGCCTCCAGTGTTCTGGGCAGATGTAATTGTTGGGCCATCAGAATGTCCTTGATTATTTCAACATGATTTTCTGGTAAATGGAGTATCAATTCATGGAGAAAGAGCAAAAAGTCCAGAAGGATGATCTGGTGGATGATCTTCCAGACTTGAATGCTCACGATATCCTGGATGAAGATAATCTTCTGTTTTTCACCTGGAAAAGAGGCAGTTTACCATCAGAAGATGAAGGTACCTGTACTCATTACCCATCACCTCTGGAGACTCAGAATGGAATTTTCTGACCCACTCAGAGACGCAGTTCTTCCAGCATGGAGCCAGCCCAGATCCAAACTTTTTTCTCAAAGACATTTGTGGCACTCAGCTTTTCCCAACACCAAAGTAAGTGGGCATAGAATCTGGAAGTCCTCGGCTTACCGATTCTGCAACCTGCAGCAGCAAAATGAAGAATAGCAATGAAGCAGAATGAACTACACCACTGCAGAGGAGCACCTATAAAATCTCATTACAATTGGCTACCTGACACAACAGGGAACCGAAATATTTTTCAAGCTCTTCTTCTGCTCTGCTAGTTCAGTGTTTGCTAGAATTTTTGTTTCAATGGGTGCATTTTAAAGTGCCATGTTCCAGCTGCAACCTGTAGTGGCGCAGTCCATTTTCTGGACATTTTGTCACTACACTTCCATTTCATTCTCTTGCAGATGCCATTACAGCCTCTTTCACACCATCTGCAATTGTGTTTGGCAACCTTAAACATCAGTAACTCTGTTGTTTTTGTTTTGTTTTTGCAACACTAAGTGCCTTCCAGGCAAGGGTGTATGTCTATACCTCCCTCATTCTCACATGTAAAGGCGATGAGATGGCAAAATATTTACGTTGTTTTTGTTTTGTTTTTGCAACACTAAATGCCTTCCAGGTAAGGGTGTATATCTATACCTCCCTCATTCTCACATGTAAGGGCAATATGGCAAAATATTTAGTACAAATCTCAGTGAAGGTTCCTGGCTTCCCAACAAGAATTTTTGCACACACATTGCACCAAATTAGGATGGCTACTCCCTTGCTGTGCACACTGTTAGTTACTGAAGCCTCAGATGGGTTGTTTCTATCTTTAGCTCAATCGCCTCTTCTTTCTCTCCTTGCTTTCTTTGTGGGTATGACTCATGTTAGACATGTGCTATCTGGTTTAAAGAGCCATCATTTTATGTGGGCCTTTGACCAATTATTATGTATTGGTTCTTTGAGATGGAAAGTCATGCTCACGTTTTCTAGATCCTAAACAGTAAATCATTCAGAGCAGCTCAAGGCTAGATAATGAAAGCCACAACAATGTTGATTTTGAAATGCTGGACAAAACCAGCAATATCTAGATCCTAAACAGTAAATCATTCAGAGATAATGAAAGCCACAACATGTCCACAACAATGTTGACTTTGAAATACTGGACAAAACCAGCAATCGTTACATCAAACTGCACGGGGAAGCCATTGAAATCCACAAGCACCAGCAGAACTTCAACAAAAAAGAGGAAAGTTTGAAACTCAACAAAACTTGGCTCCCAGCTCTGAAAAATACAGCATGCAAAAGGTCAATGAACTCCACCCAACCACAAGGATGGGGGATCACTACACATAAAAGACCAGCTAATGGCACCCATCAATCACTGTGACAGATAATCTCTCCTCCTTATCACAACAATACACCCACAACAAGACACACGAATCACCCATCTCCTGCAAAGTACAAAAGCCTATCTCATAGCCATAAATACTCCACTCCCAAGCAAACTACACCAGAGAACAGAGTGCTGTCCTCTGAAGATGCCGGCCACAGAGACGGGCAAAACGTTAGGAAGAACAACCTTCAGAACACGGCCAAAGAGCCCAAAAAACCCACAACAACCAATGTTGACTTTGTTGGGAAGGACTAGAAATTTACAGAGCAGGGATTTGAACTGGTTTATTGAAGACCTTCTACAGCACTGCCCTGTAGTCTTTATTCCATCTTCTAGGGCTGGTTCTCACCCAGGCATGATGTTCTGAGGGCTTAAATTCTCCTGACTCCCAATCCTATGGGGGAAAAAAATTGAGATTGTAGGAAATTGCATAGAGATGGAGTCTCTTGCAATACCAAACCAATTTTTTTCCTCTCTTCATTTTCAGTTCTCACCCCCAACATTCCTTCCATTTCCATCTCTGAGGGGCATGCCTCAGGTAGAGCAAAGGTGATGTGCAACAGGACAACCTTGCCAGTCCAACATAAAAAGGTAACTTCAAAGGTCCATCTAGTTCCCATGTGGCTAACCAGACACACAACCAGACCATAAAAGCACTGGTTCCCCCCCCCCATACCACTATTGATTCATTGTGGCAAGTGCATGGCACCCTCCATCCAAAGTTGAGAAATTACTTTTCTGGCCATTATACTGTTCTTCAGAACCCCAGCCGGGAACAGTGGCCTCTTTCGGCTACCATGGCCAACATAGCCACTGACTCAAGGAGGAAGCTCTTCTCTAAAGACAGAGCATCTCTTCTCCAAATGGAGGGATTTCCGTAACCTCCCATGACTAATTGCGATTGACTGGCTGCCAGTCCAAATCTGGCGCTCATCTTCATTGCTACCTTACTCTTTCCAAGGCTCCTGGTTTCCAAATTGGGAGGGGATCAAGAAGCAGAGATCTGTTTTCCTGCCTCACTCTCCCATCCTCCTCCAGAAAAGGAAGGAGAATAATCGCTCACTTCATGGTTGTTTCGTCTTTGGGTGCCAGGCTATCTAGAATGAGGAGGAACAAGTAGAACCCCAATGCCTAATGTCCAACCCTCCTTCAAGTGCAGAAATCAACCAAGCCCAAGATGGCCACTGTGGCGTGGTTTGTGAGTGGGAGAGCTTGACTGGGAACAGGGAGACACTGCGTATTGGATTTGGGCTTGATATTGAAACTCATGGAGGTGACCTTTAGGAAACGCCTGTTTTACAACTTCATCTATTTCACAGAGTTGTTGTGCGGAAATGGAGAGCCAGGTGGTCTGTCTTGAGCTCATGCGAGGAACAGTGGGATAGAAATGAAATTTAAAAGCTATTAAGTGCTGCCTCTTAAGCTGAAGAGGCAACCCAAAATCCATTTGCCGGAACGTTTTTGACTAAAACTGGTTGGGTAGCTCAGCGGCTTAGACATATGGCTCAGGAGCCAGAGGTTGGGAGTTCGATTCCCCCACTGTGACTCCAGAGAGAAGAGTCAGCCTGGGTGGCCTTGGGCCAGCTGCACCGTCCCAGAGTATCCCCCAGAAAAAGGGAAGGGAAAACCACTTCTGAGTATTCTCTACCTAGAAAACCTTGAAAAGAGTCACTGCAGGTGAGAACTGAATTGACAGCATGGAATTCTTCTTATCATTGTGACTAGGCATCACAACGCTGCAGAAGCTTCTGAGTATTCTCTACCTAGAAAACCTAGGCATCACAACGCTGCAGAAAAACTTGGATTACCCTGTCCCATCACCATGTGTAGCTCACACTTACTCTTGCCCAATGTTTTGCATGCTTAATTTTAGTTGATTTAATCTCTGCTGTCTGTCCTGGCTTAGAGTTCTGTGGGGGAAAAAAGAGGTCTCAGATGAAGACAATTAGAGCTGGAATCAAAACATAGGACCTGGATTTTAACTCTTCTCAGTTCCAGTCCTTTCCACAATATCCCCCTTTCCTGCTGCCATTACCATCTGACATTAGAGTGGCCGGGTCTCAACACACCACCTGGAGTCTCAAATAATTGCTTTGCTTCCTGGGTCTCATGTTAGAGAGATGAATCTCAGTGCAAGCAGTGTTGGAGGAAGATAACATTTCAGTTTTGTGCAGGACTTGCGAACCTTTTTTCTGCACCAGCCCTGCCTGCCTTCCTTCCTGCCTGCCTGCCTGTCTGAGATAACATTTCAGTTTTGTGCAGGACTTGTGGGCCTCTTTCCTGCACTAGCCCTGCCTGCCTGCCTCCCTGCTTGCCTGCTTTCTTGGCTATTGCTTCCCAATTCTCCTGACAATCCATCCATCCATCCATCCATCCATCGATCCATCCATCCATCGATCCATCCATCCATCGATCCATCCATCCATCGATCCATCCATCCATCGATCCATCCATCCATCGATCCATCCATCCATCGATCCATCCATCCATCGATCCATCCATCCATCGATCCATCCATCCATCGATCCATCCATCCATCGATCCATCCATCCATCGATCCATCCATCCATCGATCCATCCATCCATCGATCCATCCATCCATCGATCCATCCATCCATCGATCCATCCATCCATCGATCCATCCATCCATCGATCCATCCATCCATCGATCCATCCATCCATCGATCCATCCATCCATCGATCCATCCATCCATCAGTTCCTTCCTTCCTTCCATCCATCCATCCATGAGGAACATTGCAGTGCCATCTCTTGAAGCACTAGTACTTACAGGGCCTCAGAAGAAAGTCTCATGGTCCACGTAGGTTCTAACCTATTATCAGGAACGAAGAAAAAGAAGAAAGAGTGGTGGAACTTAGTTTGGTCCCCTTCAAGTGTGTCTGAGATGACAGCTTCATTAACCAGCTGCAACCTTCTCCACTTAGCAAGACAGTAACATTGCTTCTTTAAGCCCCTTCCAGATGCAACATTTCTCTACCATCAAGGATCAGGATCTTAGCAGGATTTTCTCAGGTACCCAAATCATGTTCCTCATATCAAACTTTGTATCAGCTTCCACCACCACCCCAAGCTCCCACACCCTTTTCTCCAGCCCCAGCCCCTTGATTTATTCTTTGTGGTGCTTTCTATGGAGGCAGAGCGCAGAGCTATGACTCTTCCCGATAGCATGAAAGCACACCCTTTTCTCCAGCCCCAGCCCCTTGGTTTATTCTTTGTGGTGCTTTGTATGGAGGCAGAGCTATGACTCTTCCCAATAGCATGAAAGTTGTCAGGAGAATCTGGAAGCAATAGCCAAGAAAGCACAAAAAAGCACACATCAACAGTAATTAGCAGTGGAAGCCTGCTGTACATGGACAGGTGCATGCAGAATGTACTGAAAGCACTGAAACACTTTAGCGCTAGACCATTGAAGTAAATGCCACTCTCTTCAAGCTAAAAGGGTGGGCAGACCAAGGCAGACAAAATACTGCATCTTGAAGAGTACCTAAAATCCCAGGGGTTGCTCTTACTTGAAATAGTTTGGCCAAAATAGTGATTAGTATTTTGGCTTTTCAGTCTGTCAACCCATTAGTCTGCATTTATAGTCTATGTAAATACAGCATAGGTAAAAGGTAAAGGTTCCCCTTGATATTTAGTCCAGTCGTGTCCGACTCTAGGGCGCGGTGCTCATCCCTGTCTCCAAGCCGTAGAGCCATCCTTTCATCCATTTTGATTACTGTCTGAATGACTAGCTTTGGCTTTCTCCTTTGAATCTTCCAAAATATTAATTTAATTTAATTTAAATTACTCCCACGCCAACTCCACCAGAGCACAGAGTGCTGTCCTCTGAAGATGCCGGCCACAGAGACTGGTGAAACATTAGGAAGAACAACCTTCAGAACATGGCCAAAGAGTCTGAAAAACCCACAACAACCATTAGATCCTGGCCGTGAAAGCCTTCGCAAATACAGTGGTGCCTCGCATAACGGGCACCCCATTTAACGATGAATTTGCATAGCAATGAAGAATTTGCAATTGCTTTTGTGATCACATAACGATGTTTCCTATGGGGGAAATCGCTTTGCGATGATCGGTACCCTGTATCGCTTACTGATCATCGCATAGTGATGATTTCCCCCCAGCTGATCAGCGGTTCCAAAATGGCCGCCGGGTAAAACAGGGACGGATTCCTCACTTACCGGGCAGCAAAAATGGCTGCCGTATGGAGGACTTTCACTTAAAGGTAAGTTTTAAGCCCATAGGACCGCATTGAAGGGGTTTCAATGCATTCCTATGGGCTATTTAATTTCGCATAGCGATGAAATCGCTTTGCAACGATTTTTGCTGCACGGATTATCATCGCTATGCGGGGCACCACTGTACATTAATTTAATTTAATTTAATTTAATTATACTGTCTCATCAGTGTCAAAGCACTGTTCTGGGTGGCTTGACAACATTAAGTTGGAAGATACTTGAAATGAACAAGGAATGAACATCACCTTCCAGCGCTTTCAAAGCTTTGGTAACTAATCAAGCCCACAACGAGGACTGAGCCGATGAGACACCCCATGACAATTCCTGCAATCGTTCTTAAACTTAGAACTTTCGACTCTTTTGGTTCGGTTGGTTCTGGTGTTGCTGAAGGCAGAAGGAAAGATCAAGTGAGAACTGGAAAATGGAACCATGATGTCTCTCCCCCTACCACCACAATTGTGCTTTGGGCACTATTCTCTCTGTCGGTTTCAAGTCCCCAACTCAATTTCTCAGCCATGGTCTTCATTTTCATCCTCGTTAATCGCATCTACAATTTCTCCTCCTTTGCTTATCATCTGCTGTGATCTTGTGGGACTTAGGATCAAATAAGACAAGACGATTAGGCGGCCATTAAGAGCATCCTTAAGGGGTAGAAGACATTTCCTTAGCCCAACTTTCCTCACCTCTGCGTGGTGCATGTTGGCTTGCTTTTGTTTTCTGATTGGTCACTGAAAGATAAACACAGACTTCATTTGCAAGCCTGGTAGCTGAGGCCAGTCTGCTTGCCCGCCTTGCAGCTTTGAAGGAACTGCGTCTCTGGAGGGAAACTATTTGATCAGCTTTTTACGTCAAAGCTGTCACCTTGTCTGCTTGGACTGAAGCAAAGTCAAGTCGCGTTCTGGCCATATGTTCTTCAACTGGCCCTCAGAGAAATCCATGCTTTAATCCATTGGTATATTCTAAACTGCTCAAGGTTGACAGGAAATTGTTTTCATGAATAATTCTATTATTAACCCATCAGATCCCCAATGTCAGGAGGTTCAGATGGGGGGGGGGGAAGAGAGAGAAATCCAAGTTCTGTTGCTATATTACTGCAAGCCAGTGTGCTATTATGATCGGTATGATACAAAAGTTAGGTTATTAGCAGCTTGGATCATTTTGATCATCTAAGAAAGAATCCAGGGCACATCCTTTCCCCCAAAGTAAGGGGCAGGAGAACAAAGATGGCGCTACCCTAGACCAATGTAAGGAGTTTGCTGATGAAACCTCCCCCCAAATCAAGCATCCTTGTGGGAGTTGTTGCTAACTCTGTCATAAGGCAAGAAAGATTTTTGTTCTGGAGATTTTGGACGAGATCTCCAGGTGAGCATTTAAGCAAATGATCTTGGGAGGTTATCAGCTAAAAATAAATAAATAACTGTCTCAGACTTGGATTTGAACCAAATCAATGTCAATGTCTTTGTCCCATAGATGGGTAGGGGAGTCAGATGATTTGAGAATGGGGGGGGGTTACTAAATGTTCGTAAGAGTTACCTTCTTGAACTAGTAGAAATCTCTCCCCATATTCAATTCTGTTGCCCTTTCTTTCAATCAGGACTCCATAGAGAGCCATGTCCTCAAAAGAAACATTGGCGAAGTGCAGAGAGCAGTCGTCGTCTGGTGTCTGGCGCCCGTTGTAACCGGGCTTATAGTGGATAGCAATGGTTGGTTTTAGTTGATAGACCAAGATTTCGAGATATCTTTCTCTTCCACCTCTGAACCACAGGCAAGAGACCTTGTCGTCAAACTTTCCTTCTGGGATAAGAATGACATCCTGTCCTTCCTGAGGATACTCTGGACTCCTTGTGACTTCGATGGTTGTGTTGGCAGGAATTTTTTCAGTCAGACTTAAGAAGATCGAAGCACCCAAGGCATGGGCTGGTAGGGAAAAGAGAACAAGAACAGGATTTGTTTCAACAAAATAAACCCCATGAATATTGGGATTATTCCTGCTGCCGTTATGATTACAGTAGGACCCCCTATCCACAGAATCAGTATCTGCTTAGTCACTTATCCACTAAATTAAAAAAAATAAATAAATTAAAAAACCCATAGAAATATGTATTTCCAAGATACATTTATAAGAACCGGTTACCAGACAGAGCTAGAGACCACATTTGTCAGCATCTGACGTGATCTTGGAACACGGGCACGTTTAAAAAGATGGATAGTTTGTGATCCAAATAGGTGGGAGAGGAGACCTCCCTGAAGTTTTTTGGAGTGGCCTACTCCACCCCACCTTGCTCAGACCATGGGTTGTGCCTGCTTAAAAAAACACTGGAGGACCCCCTTATCCACAGGATCAGTATCCACTGATTCATTTATCCACAGCTTGAAAAGATTAAAAATATTAGAAGAAAAATCTCCAAATTACATATTTTTGATGTAGTTTCCAGATCTGGCTACTAGAGAGAGCCACAGACCATGCTAATGTTCACAAGAGAAATATATTTCCATGATATCATTAGCAGAATTAGCCATAAGAGGGAGCCAGAGACCATGTTATCTATAGCATTTGCTATTACAATCGTGTTCACTATAATCTGCGTGTTTCGGTATCCATGGGCGGTCTTGAAACCACTCCCCTGCAGACACCGGGGACCTATTGTACCTATAAAATGTGACTGGTTACCCATCGTTTATGTTTGCCACCATATTTAAGAAGCGTCATTTTGCTATGGTGTTATTCCCTCTGCCTTGGAGCTCAACAGTCTCACCAGCTAGAAGAAGGATGAGCCAAGATATTCCATTGACAGCGATGGCCCAGCTGTCTGCAGCCCATGTCCGCATAATGGTCCAACCCCTCGGAGAAACGCAAGGGATTTGGGCATGCTGGTTGTGTTTTGGTCCAATTAGATGACTTGATCTGTTCCCTTTCTTTGCCCAAGTGGCTTAGGACCTCCGGAGAAGATCCCCCCCGGGGTACCCACCCTCCCCCAGGAATCCCAAGGCCCAGGGCACCTCACCCCTGGGCCCACCTGCCCACACCTTCCTGGTTCTCAGGTGAGAAAGGAGGGGAGGAGCTGGAGGAGGAGGTCACAAAGCAGAGCTCCGAGCCATTGTGAAGTGCAGAAGTGATGCGATAGGGAAGGCCCCACCTGAAGGTTTGCCTGCCTTCCACATGGGGTGGGGAAATGGGGCAGGAGTTTATGAATCATCTCCCTTCCTACCTGTCTCCATGTTCTATCCAGATTTAGGTTATAACGCTGGAATCGGGATTCGTGTAATATTATGCCAGATCCTGGAATGTGCAAAGACAGGCCCCGAGAGGACAAGGGACATGAGGCTCTTATTGTCTGATCGACAGAGATTGTTGTATTTTATTCCACAAACCAACGAGGTCCTATATGCTTGATTGGTATTCCTGCCTTGAGCAGGGGGTTGGACTGGATGGCCTTGTAGGCCCCTTCCAACGCCATTAATCTATGATTCTATGATTCTGATTTTGTGTCCTTCCCTTCTTTCGGTCCTGTTCAGTTTCTGGGTGGGCATAAAGCGCAGGCAGGCAATTTGGGAATGCCCAGATATTTTTTGGGCTGCAACAGCTATCAGCACTAGCCAATGGACTTGGGTGGACTATATACTCCGGATTAAAGACGGCCATGAACCGCTGATTCAGTCGTTCAGCACAGTTCATTTACAGGCCACACGGCTGATTTGTGGTCCGGCGCCCTGCCCGCTCCAGCAGGCACCCACTTCACAGCAGCATCCCACCTCCTCTTAGTGCTGCCTCCAAGGGGGCACCCGCCAGAGGGGGCAGGGCACCGAACTGCGGATTAGCTGTTCAGCCAGTAAACGAACCACCATGCCCATCTCTGCTCCTCATTTCCCTGTTGATGGAGTATGAATAGGGTGTTGTGGCAATTTCATTTAATATGATGGATAATTGTGTTATCCATCCTATTAAATGAATGCTGGACCATAAAGAAGGCTGACTGCTGAAGAATGGAAGCTTTTGAATTGTGGTGCTGGAGGAGACTCTTGAGAGTCCCCTGGACTGCAAGGAGAACAAACCTATCCATTTTGAAGGAAATCAACCCTGAGTGCTCACTGGAAGGACAGATCCTGAAGCTGAGGCTCCAGTACTTTGGCCATCTCATGAGAAGAGACGACTCCCTGGAAGAGACCCTGATGTTGGGAATGAATGAAGGCAAGAGGAGAAGGGGACGACAGAGGATGAGATGGTTGGACAGGGTCATTGAAGTGATCAACATGACTTTGACCCAACTCTGGGAGGCGGTGGAAGACAGGAGGGCCTGGCGTGCTCTGGTCCATGGGGTCACGAAGAGTCAGACACGACTAAAGGACTAAACAACAACAACATAACTGTGTTGCTTCAAGCAAATATTGGTGTTACGTGACTCCACAATGAATTATTTTCCCTGCTTACTTGTGTGTGTGTTTTTTTTTGGGGGGGGGGGAATCATACTTGATTTCCAAAATATACTCTAGCAACTGAAAGGCCAACTCTGCTTTCTGGCATGGTGCCTGAGACACGGTAGCAAGAAAAGCAGAGCCCAGAATGCTTTTAAAGTAATCACTGAATTACGTATTGCTTATAGGCAGTTAAGTTGTCATTATTGTTCTCCATAATGCCAAGGCACGCATTTATATATTGAACAAACCTTGAACCTTTACCGGGTGTTTCATTGCATATAATCTATGTTCTTTCCATACTGCATTGCTTCTCATGGACATATTGTTCACAAAAGCAAAAACATCGGAACCACAAATGTAAATGATTACCTTCGATAAAAGGTTGTTTATTCTGAAAGAGACTTTTGTCATCTCAAGTTATCAAAAGTTTAATCTTTTCTACACATCTTTTCTGGGAGGTAAAGGTTCCCTTGAAATTTAGTCCAGTCATGTCTTACTCTGGGGGACGGCCCCCGTTTCCAAGTCGTAGAGCCGGCGTTTGTCTGAGGACGGTCTCCGTGGTTACGTGGCCAGTGCGACTAGACACGGAACGCCGTGACCTTCCCAACGTGGTGGTACCTATTTATCTACTCACATTTTTTACATGCTTTCAAGTGGCTAGGTTGGCAGGAGCTGGGACAAGCGACAGGAGTTCACTCCCTTGCATGGATTCGATCTTGCGACTGCTGGTCTTCTGACCTTGCAGCACAGAGGCTTCTGCAGTTTAACCCGCAGCACTGCCACATCCCCTTCTGGGAGGTAGGCATCCATAAAACTCAGGATTATTTGGATTTATGATAGAAACCCTTTGTCTTTGGGAGGGAGGTAGAAGAGAAAAGAAAATTCATGCAGGGGGTGGTTGAGGATGTTTTGAACTTGAATGTTATTCTGGATAAGGATGATCTTTCGTTATCAGTCAGCCTAGAATTGGGACACAGTAAACACATAGCATAACCTTTATTTTGGAAGACCCAGAATGCTGCTTTTCTAACCCACTCCCACCCTCCAAAGTTACAACTCTCCAAACTCAGAGGCAGGCCAGATGCAGACTTTCCTGCCATGGAGGCATGGATATTGCTCAACTTCTCTTGACACTCAGAAGTAGGGATTGGAATCTGGAAATACTTGGCTTCAGGTTTCCATGATTCTGCAAAATGAGACAACAAGACAGCAATGGAGGAGAATTTGCTATCCTATGGCAAATTAATAATAGTTATCATAGTTATTATTTGATAACTCTTCTATTGCAGAATGTCTAAGTTCTGGGGATTGCTTCTGTGCATTAAAAACTAAGTGAAACACAATACTCTACTAGGAAAAAAGAATCCTGATCACATCAGGAAGAAAAGGCCCTTCCTCTCCTGAATAGAGTTATGTTTGCAAGGAGCTTGTTTCAGAGGCTGAATTCCTGTGGCATAGTTACACAAAGAGTGCATGGTAAAAAAAAAAAATCCCCATAGGACTTTATCTGTTGCATTGCAGAGTCCCCAGATTCAGTATAGAACAGATAATGCCTCTGGAGGTTTCTGAAGATACTCCATTTGCCTAGTTGTGCAACAGGATTTTAGCCACAGTATGAATTCCAAAATGTTCCCGTCATTGACTCATTTTCTTCCCACACAGAGAGTTCATCAGAGATATGTGCATCAAAATCAGACCTCAAAATTAAACCCATGTTTGTGTCCTAGGACCGATTGCAAGACAGAGCATGCTAAATCCAGGATACACAGGGGAGCAAAACCACATGCTATGACAAACAGACCTTTTCTACCACTCAATGGATCACCCCTGTAAAGAATGTTATAAACAAGTCATTGACCTCGCCACTCCCTCCCACTAGTTGGTCTTTATTTGTCTTGAAGTGTTAAGGAACCTTAGGCCATATTTCTGTGTTTACTGCTTTAGATAAACATGTAAACATTTACTTTCTAGTGCAGATATAACACCCCAATCAGCTCGGGACAGATACTTAAGAGTCCATGATGCCTACCACGTTGACTTGGAGATCACGAGGAAAGCAGGAAATCTCTAGAGCAGATGCTTTAATGGAGATACCGAAGGACTGGTACTATTCTGATAAAAACACTCTTTGGCACGTCTTCTAGGGCTTTTTGGCCGCCATTCTGTGGGCACTTTTTCCTGGTTGACTTGGTTGACTGTGAAAGGACATAGCAGAGGGACAGATGAGGACAGAACCTCCCCTAACTGGAGATCAGCCTTTAAATGGGTTTAGGAAAACAATCTATGCTTCACAGGGGCATCCCCCCTCCTCCCAAAACTCGCTGGTTTGAGAAGAGGCAGGACTTTGAGAATCAGAGACCTATCATCTCCCTTCCACTTCCCACCCTCCTTCATCAGAAGGAAAACGTTGTCCATCTCATGGCGGCTGGGCTTCCTGGTATGAGGAATAAGAGGTAGAACTCTACCCCCAAGCCCTACCCAATGGGCCTCCCCTTTGTGTTCCAGTCTATTTTTTACCCCATAGGAAGGGGACAACAAAACATAAGAAAGCCAGCGTGGCGTAGCACTTAGGATGCTGGCTTGCAACTTTAAAAGTCTGAGTTACAGGCCCCCCAGGGAACCATTACATTCATTGGGTACCTTGAGTCCCCCCCCCATTCTCTTTCAGCCTGATCTACCTTAAAGGACGGCTGAGAGAAAATAAATATGGAAAAGAGAGTGGAGGAGAGAGTAGAGGGGTGTAATCTCCACCATCTTTGACTCATAGGAGGGTAGGTGGGGACAATAAGGGTCTAAACTCATGAGTCGGAGGTTGAGAGGTTCTGATCCAGGGCTGGTCCTGGTCTGGACATTTGCTGAGAAGCTCAAGAGACACTGACCTTACTCCACTTGGTCGGGCCTTCACTGGCTCTGGCTTGGTGCTGTGAGGAAGTTCTCTCTGCAGTGAAGTGTCCTGCCTGCAGAAACAAAGAAATTGCAATGTGGGATGTAAGATTTATCCTTCTTATTATTCCCATTCTTTGCCATTATGGCCCATCCCATTCGGCCATACCATCGCCCCAGGCAGAGGAAAGATGGTGCCGTGAATTCACCCTGGGTTTCAAGCCAGCTTTTAAAGAACATAATCAAGGAGCTATATCTGCTTGGGAGTTTGTGTTCAGTACCATGAATAGCTTTTTATTGATCTAAGAGGGTCCTATTTGCTTATCCCCGCATATCTGCATAGCTCCCACCCTGCAGGGACATTCTTGAGCTCTATTCAGATACTTTGACACACAAAGGGAAGATGGAGGGGCATTCTTCAGCACCACCCCTTTTCCAGTTGGTGACCATGATCTCACTAGCTATCTTCTCTAGAATACAGTGGTGCCTCGCTTAACGACGATAATCCGTTTCAGGAAAATTGCTGTTAGGCAAAAACATCGTAAAGCGAAATTTAAAAGCCCATTGAAACACATTGAAAACCCCTCAATCCGTTCCAATGGGGTAAAAACTCACTGTCCAGCAAAGATCCTGCATACGGTGGCCATTTTCGATGCCTGTATAGCGAGGATTTTGTCCCTAAGCACAGCGGGGAGCCATTTTAAGCACC